ATACCTGAAATCAGTCTATAAATTATAAAATATACTTACATTAGTTAATAATGTTAATTACAATAATCCTTGACCCTGTATCATTGGATTTTCCTGTTCTACTTTTCCCGGTGACCTGTACTACCTCGTTAACTTCAATTTTCATAATTGTGCCAGATTATTTGTGTTATTTAATACCTCTGCTTATCCCTAAACTGCAGGCTTATGAATTTGAGAATTTCATGTCTAGCTTGACATGGTGCTTGTGCACTTAAAGAGGGTTTAATACATATTTATTAAATGAATATGTGTATAATCTTATGAGATAGATATTATCTCTGTCTTTCAGATGAGTAAACTGATACTTGGAAGGATTAAGTAATTTATTCAAGGTAGTTAGTTATAGAAACAAGACTTTAACCAGCATCTTCTGACTCTCAGTATCACATCCTTCAACTACACCATTAGTTTCCAGGCACAGAGGTTTGTCAGAATTTCCTAGGGAACCTTTGAAAATATAGATTCTCAGATCACACTCAGAGAGTACTGAATGAGAACCTCTGAATTTGGGGCTCAGAACTGTGTTTAAAGAAATAAGAAAAATTATTTAGAAGATTTTGATAGTAAGTAGCATTTGAGAATCAGTATTACATACCAGGGCTGGCAAACTGCAATTTGGGGACCAAATGTAGCCCACCGCCAGTTTTTGTAAATAAATTTTTAGTAGAACACAGCAATGCTCATTCATTTGCATATTGCCTATGGCTGTTTTCATATACAGAGTACAAGTTGAGTATTTGTGATAGGGACTGAATGGTCCACACAGCATAAAATTTTTACTGCTTGGTCTTTTACAGAAAGTTTACCAACCCCTCATCTATACTTTACTTCCTGTCCTATTTCTTTTGTGGTGTTTTAGTGCTTGGAGATGTGGTAGACATGATGTTTGGTTTTATTGTAGGCATTACAGTAGGTAATAAAAATTAACTTACTTTCCGATTTACCTGATGATAAGGGAGTAAGCTGTAGATAGCCTAAGCAGTCAAATTTAAGAAAAATACTAAGCTAGGTATGGTTCAAGCTAGTCAACCCTCATAGTGGGTGAACTGCTTTTAACAAAGTGATTCCTTTTCATTCAGTTGGTGATATAGTATTCCCTAAATGTGAGGGAGGATGTGAGGTTTCTTGCCTATATAACAGGGACTGATTACCATAATTGATCTGTGTAATAGAGAACTATGATTAATACTCTAAGTATTTTGGTACCCCAATGCTGCTGTAATCCTTAAAGCCAAAGTGTCTTGGGTGCTTTTGGTCAGAACTCAAATTAATATAAGAAATTACCCTGGACTGATCAAACCTCTAGACCTGTGCTGCCTTATGATTTAAATTAATTAAATTAAATAATTAATTAAAATTAAATAACATTAAAAATGTAATTCCTCACACACAGTAGCCACAGTTCAAGTGTTCAGTAGTGACATGTGTCTAGTGGCTACCTTATTGGACAGCACAGATACAAAACATTTCTATTATCACAGAAAGTTTTAGTGGACAGTGCTGCTATAGATTCTAGAGTTCAAGAATTGCAGTTTAGTCAAATCCAAGACTTGCTATTTGAATTAATTCTTTATTTGTAAGAATGGAATAACAATTTTTAATGTTTTCTTTTTCTAACAGCAAATAGTGGTGAAAGTATCCAGTATTTGCTTTAGAGCCATCTCAGCTAAGAGCAAACTCTTTTTAAAATTCTGATAAGCTCTTTAAATCTTGACTCCAGGAAATACCCATCTCATTGACCCCTGTGGACTAACTGTCTATTCAGAATGATTAATCATTGGCCAGTTCGTGAAATAGTTCAGAACTGACTGTGATTTCTGGCCAAATCTGTTTGGCTTGGTTAAGGATGATGGGAAAGGAACCGGTTTTAAAACAGAAGCTATAAAGTCAATAGAATATAAAGTCTTGGCATCATCTTTGGAGTGATTTAGATTTCATCATTCAGTGACTCATTTTTATTCCCAGCATCTAGTGCTTTTTGCATGGCCCAAAGGGGCCCTGTGCTGCTCCACTGCAGAGGAAACTTCAAGAAATGCTGGTTTGCTACAATGTTTTAGCTTGTGACAGTCTCTGGGACCTTCCCTGCTCCATCATGGGGTCACCTCTAGGTGGGTATTAGGAGGAGATTGGTAATTGACTTAACCTTTAATAAAGTACTTGGTAATCCTTGGTAGTCCAGTAAGATATGTATTTAATAGCCTGTCCCTTAAAATGTTTTCCCTGACCCCAGCTCTGTGTCACCTTAAAGACTGTTTCTCTAGTGCAGTGTTCCTCAAACTTTGAGAGGCTCTAAGGCCACGTCAAGAGGCTAAAAGATTCTATAAATTTCCCCACTTATTCTTAGTTATTATTATCAGAAATGCTACCAAGGATCTACTTTTCTCTAAATTACAAGATTTTTGTCATTTTGCACCTCAGGCAGGGATGGCAGTGGATTAGGGGTGGGTGAGAGAGAAACAGTTTTTAGAGTGAGGATTCAAGTATAATCTCACTCATGCTGGTTTTTCTGCCCTCAACAACTCCTCTTACTCCATGTCTCTAGGTAGCCTCTCCTTTATTCCTTCTGAGCTGAGATGGTGGGTTTCAGCCACATGGGGTGTTAAAAGCTATCATTTGATGGCAATAAGGGGCTTTTACAGGAGTCAGATTGTTCAGAAGGAATCTCCTCACCCACTTTCTGCCTCTTTTGTTTTCCTTGAGCTTGCTGAATGCTTCTTTGAGACACTGGTATATCTTGGTCTGACATTTTGGATCACTTTAAGGACTAATATGGAAAACACCTCAGGTCATCTTAGACCATGATTGAAAAAACACTGATCTAAAGTGATCTACTCAGATCACCTAGATTCTTCCCCCAGATACTCCTTTGAGCCCAAAAAGGGCAAAATAAGTTTTCTTATGCTCCAAATGAGTCTGAAAATAACCTAATGTTTAGTGTAGATTATATCCTGAAAGCATTTTTTGGAAGTTGACTGTGATAGAGATTT